GGAGATTAAAAAAAAAGTATAGGATCCTTGATTTACAGTTAGAACAGATATTAAAGGTGACCTAGTCAAACCTCTACATTTTACAGTTGAGGAAATAAATCCTCATAAAGATTAAATGTTCAGTGTTATAAAGGCATAAAGGGATAGAGCCAGGATATGAGCATAGGCTCTTTGATTCTAACTAATTCAGTGTTTAGTTACCCCTCTGAGCTTTGTGTCATCTTCAGATTTGATAAACATGCCACCTATTCCTGCATCCATGTAATAGATAAAACTGAGTAGGGCCAAAGAGAGATCTTTTGCTTTAAACTTCTCACTGTCACAGATACTTTAATCATTCATAGAGTTCTTGTCATTAAGTTGGTTTTAAATATATACCCTGTACACTAGAAATTTCTCTCCATTTTGATCATAAGGATAGCATGACAGACTTTGCCACATCCTTTACTAATATCCAATTGTATTATGTCTACAGCGCTTTTCTGGTCTACCTGTCTAATAATGGTATCATAAAAGGACGTGAAGTTCTCCTGACACTATTAAACCAGTGTTGACTCTTAATGATCCCTATTTCCCATTCTAAATGCTATCAAAACATCCTTTTAACATAGAAATTCTTAACCTTTTTTTTTTGATCATGGACCCCGTTGATAAGTCTGTTGAAGTCTATGACTCCTCAGAATAAAGTTTTTAAATGCATAAAATAAAATACATAAGATTCCAAAGGAAAGCATTTTTATTGCTATAAAGTTATCAAAATATATGTTAAAAAAAACCAAAACAGGTTCATGAACCCCAGCTTAAAAACATCTGTTTTAATGGTATGTTCTAGAATTTTCTTTGAATTTAAAGTCAAAATCAATTAATTGCAATTGGCAGTATTGGCAATATTATAGTCTCTCTCATATTTTTCATGATTTTTCAGATTTCACCAATAGCAACTATTACATCCAGAAGGTATATCCATACCCTGGGGTGTATCATAGTTCATCCAGATGGCCTATGAAAGTCAGAGATGTTCACTTCTTCATTGAAATCCTTATTAACTTTTTTTTTTTGGCCTTCAATTTTATGTCTAAAATTAGTTCTTGATAAAGAATACAAAAACAAAATAAGAATTGGGTACTTCAGCCATCTCTTAGTAATTATTTATGCTTATCTCCTTGCCCATGACCAACTGGCCCCTCTAATTTTTCTTTGACTTTCCCCTCCCCCACATAGCTATAAAAACCCTTTTGGTTGTCTGTAGCAGTTATTAAATCAGTAAACATTTATTAATTGCCTGTTATGTGACAGGCATCTTGCTAAGCACGGGAGGTAAAAAGAAAGGTAAAACGAACAAAAAAAACCTACCTGTGAGGCGCTCACAAACCAATGAGGGAAGACAACATGTAGAAAGCTATATACAGGAGAAATTGGAAATAATCCAGTGAGAGGCACTAAAATTAAGGGGGATTGTGAAAAGCTTTTTGTATAAGGTGGGAGTTTAGTTGGGTCTTGAAGGAATCCATGAAGGCCAGGAGGAAAGGATGAGAAAGGAGAGCATTCCAGGCATAGGATACAGTGCACAAAAATTCCTGGAGTCCGGAGATGAAGTTTCTCCTTCTAGGAATAGTAAGGAGGCCAATATCCCTAGATCAAAGGGGAGGGGTGTAAGGTATAAGAAAACTATAAAGGTGTGTGGGAGAGGAGGCAGGTTATGAATGATTTTAAACACCAACCAAATAATTTTATATTTGATTCAGAAGGTAATAAGGAGCCACTGGAGTTGACTATTGAGGGAGGTGTTTTGGTTAAACCTGTGCTTTAAGAAGATCACTTTGGCAGTTGAGTAAAGGTTGGACTGGAGGAGGGAGAGATTTGTGGCAGGCAGACCAACCAGAAAGCCAGTCAATATTCTAGATGTGAGGTGATAAGGGTTTGTACATGGGTGGTAGCAGTGTCAGAGGAAAGAAGGAAGCAAATACAAGCTGTGTTGTAAAAATAAAATTGGCCAGCCTTAATAACAGACAGGATATGGGGTGAGTGAGAGAGAATGAGGAATCAAGCATGATAGATTGTAAGGCTGGGTGACTTGGGGGATAATAATGCCCTGGACAGTAAGAGGGAAGTCTAGAAAGGAAGAAAGTTTTGGGGAAAGATAATGAATTCTGTGGATTTGAACATTAGTTTAAGATGTCTGTAGGACATTTAGTTTGAAATGTCTAATAGAGAGTTGGTGATGTGAGACCAGAGGTCAGCAGAGATGTTAGGGCTAGACAAGTAAATTTGAGAATGCTGACAGGCATAGAGATGATAATTGAATACATGTAAGCTGGTGCTATCACTATGTGACATAGTATAAAGGGAGAAGAGAAGGACTAGGATGGAGTCCTGTGAGATACCTAATGAGATGCTTAGAAGTAAGAACTTGAAGATCCAGCAAAGGAGACTGAGGAGTGGTCTGATAGGCAGGAGGAAAACTAGTTGAATCGGTCAGGAAGGAGGAGCCATGGGAGATTTACAGAAGGATAAAAGGTTTGGTTGAGCCACTGTGATAAGTGCAATAATGACTTAATTAGGGAGGTGGTTATGTGATATAGTCTGGCAGTTACATGATTTTTTTCCACTATCATTCAGCAGCATGTGTAGGAACAAAGACATTATATGATTTGAGTGATCCAAGGCTGAGGCCCAACCAGGCAAGATGGGCAATATGACAAGGGGGTAAGAGACTCAAGAGAAGAGGGCAGTATAGAGTTGAACTGGTTTCCTGAGGGGGCAAGATAATGAAGGGAGGAAGAGAGAGAATTGAGAGACTGAAGGATTGGAGATCTTGATATGAATAAAGAACTGGATTTGGAGTTGTAAGGCAGAGGGAGAGGTCGCACAACTAAAAGACTGTGATAAGATAAAGGGATTTCAGAGTTCACAAACGTGGAAATGGAATATTTGTTGGGGATGGCAAGATTGGAGGTATGACTATCATGTATGGCAGAGTTGGAGTGGAGGAATAGAACATGTGAAATGAGTAATTTGAGAAACTGTGAAGTTATGATGTTTGAGGGAGTATCAGTATGTATGTTGAAATTCTCTAGTGTGAGAGCAGGAGTCAGGAAGTAGAAAGACTGACCCAGGTATTGAAGTCATTGAGGAAAGAAGGGTAGTAGCTACCAGAATGTTGATTGGGTGGTAGATATGGATTGGGTGAACTCCAAAGGAGGAGAGTGTTCTGAGTTCTGGTGGTAGTAGGAGAACCTGAAAGTGGCAGGGGGAAACAAGTACAAGGGAATAAGTGAAAGTTCAGCCATAACTAGAAAGGACAGCCAGGGTGCTGTGTCCTCAAAAGAGAGCTACGTTTGAGTGAGAACCAGAAGACAGTGAAAAAGGAACAGATTTAAGATGAAAGCTAGTTTTGTTGCTCATGGAATAGACATTTCAGAGTCCATAGTTGAAGGTTTGAGTAACTTTGGAGTGGGAAGTTAGGGGTCTTGAGGGCAGGGGGGAAACTTAAGGAGAATAGTAATACAAGATCAGATAGTGTGGGATGAGGAATGTGGTTTGGATGATGATGCATAGGTGTTTAGAATGATGGAAATGGGGACAGTATGACCTGAGGGGAGCTTGTTAATAATTATTAAGGGAAAATTTTAGAGAGATTTTTCAATGTCCTTAGTAGGATTTTGGCTTCAAGTAGCACTTTATTATTCCTGACACTACTCTTATGATATTTCTCCATAGAATGCTAAAGCATTGAATTCATCCTGTTACCTACCGTTCAATCTACCTGTCTCCTCTTTAACCATACGTATTGATGTATTCACAATTCACATTGGTCTCTTTAGACACTCCATATTTTCTTCTTCCTTGGAATCTTTTGTTTTTTAGTAATTCATGACAAGTTTACACCTCTCTTAAGTCTCATTCCTCTACATGACTTTAGACTTTATTAACTGAATCATATTTTCTCTGAATTCTTAGATACCCACTTTCCTCCAAAATTTATGTTCTTACTGTACAACTTTATTTCACCACTATTCTTAAATATGTCTTTTGAATAATGTGTGCTCTTTTGTTACCATGTTTTAGTGCTAAATTATATCATGCCAAATCCGAGTCCATTTAATTCCTTGAATTAAGTTTTTTGATCATTTAATTTAATACTTATGCTTTGTGCATTTACGTCTAGACATAGGTGAAACTGTTTTAATACAATCCTTCTTTCTACATATTGTCTCTTGTAGAATTACTGGGCTTATCCACTAATATCCTTTTTCCTGTGTCTTGTTTGCTGCTCCATATTTTCCACTATCAGCTGTTTACTGCCCAAATCTGCCTTTTTTTCTGAACCCTTTTCCTTCATTTGTTAACAGTGTTTAAAACATCATCTGTTCCTCTGAAGGAACTTTAATTTCTTGCCCAGGAGTTTGAAATATTTGTAAGAAGAGTCACTGGAAGGGGATAGTTGTATTGATATTTGACAAGTTTTGTTGGCTGTCCATTATGTCCAGAAACAGGCCATGGGAAGATAGCATTGTTCCTCATGGTTCATGCCTTTATAACATATAGCCACTCTGCTGCTCTCCAGCCACCAAAACTCTTATTTTCTTCCTCTGAGTAATATTAGAGGCACTTTAGCTGCTGGAATTTGTCTCATCATTTTCAATTCTGGCACTCCATAGTGGGATGTCATTCTAGCAGAGTTGTAAGTTCACACTAACTACCTTTGTGATGGAAATGGTTTCTTAGTCTTTGGTATATTTTGTTGTTTTAAAATGTTTTATTTATATATTAAGTTCCTTTTTGCATTCTTCTTCCATTACTTAATTTTAGTATTTGAGTAATGGAAGAAAAAGCCAAAAAATAACCTTTTTGGAATAAAACATTTAGGCTATTACATCATAAAATTATAGGGAACAACAATGAAGGAGACGCTGGTAACATTTCTAGACGTCACATAGGAAAATGTTTCCCAAATGTTAAAATAGCTAATTGTAATACCATATTTTCTCAATTGACAGGCCGAAGCTCAATTCCAGAATTCTTTCGCATTATGAGTAGACAGTTTACAGAGAGAGAATGGAAGACAATCAAAGTCTTTGAAGATGGATGGAACCAGTTGGATACATTTTATAGGCACTGGGTACGCTTTTATTCTGATTTTGATAATCAAACTTTATGTAATAGAGACCCCATTATTCCAGATAAAATTGGAAACAAAAGTATTTCAGATCATCAGAAGTTCAACTATTACTAGATTTAAGTAGGTTATCAGTTATGATTTTGAAATTAGTATTTTATGGTAATGGAATTTGGTAGCACAACATTTGACCAGTATTTGGTTGAAGAATAGAGATTTTGCATTATGAGAGATATAAAACATGGCATACTACATGTCACCATTTCTAAATTACTTTTTTTTTTGCTTGAGTCATGAATGAAACCCAGGATGTGTTTAGCTCTATGCTGTTTCTATGGGAGCGGGAAAACACTTTGTAGCAATAGTGTGTTTGGGGGAAAGTAATATAGGGTCATAGAACCAAACACGTACATAGGGCCTACAGATTTTATATTGTTTGAAATAACATTTTATCTGCCAGATGCTTTAACTTTAACATCAAATCTTTTGATATTTTAGGCACTAAAAGAAAGCTTCTTAAAAGCCATTGGGGTTGGAATAGGATTTAAACTACAGCGAATCGAGTTTAATATATCCCCACTGCATCTGGAAGTAGGCAAAGTATATAGAGAAACAAATATGCTACTTGATGGAGAAGAGGAAGAAGAATGGGCATTTGAGGTAAAGAAATCAGTTTTTTTCCTCAGGAATTTTCACATTCTTAGTATGTTTTAACTAATTTGAGTTGCATATGTACATTGAATATTATGTTTCACTTTCCAAAAATAAATATGTTGCAACTTCCAGTACTTTGAACTAAGTATTTGCACTGCTGTACTTATCACTCTGTTCTTAACCTCTGCCAGTCTGACTTTTCCCTGCTTCCTCCTTCTGCTTAAATTGCTCTTTTTATAGGTCACCAACAACCTCCTAATCATACTCTCTTGACCCCAAACCTTCAGTGACTCCCAAGACAAATTGTACTATTTTCTTTTCTCTAAACACATCTTATACTTGTTCCTGGGATATGGAAGGTACTTAATAAATGCTCTTTTGACTGTCTGTCTGACTTTTATGCCTGAGATAGTTTATAGTTTTCCATCTACCTAGAGTGCCTTTATCTGTGCCACCCCCAACTCCACAATCTCTGCTCATCAGAATTCTAACCATCCTTCAAGATCCAAATCAAATGCCACGTTTTTCATGAAGGTTTTCCTTATGACCACAATGGTTTGTTATTTCTTTCCCCCTTGACCATGGTAGCATTTTTGAACATTTCATATGACAGATGATTATCTTATAAGGCAATTTTCAATCTCTGTGCTGGTTTTATCTTTCTCCTTAATAAATTGTAATTATCAGTGAGTGTAGAAACCAGAACTTTTGTCATCTCGTATACTTGTCTTTCAAAGTTTGGTTCCTTTTATATATCAGGTGTTAATGAAATGTTTGTTTGATTGAATAATTGTTCATATAGTAATGTTATGATCAAAATCAAGGTAAACTGAAGCCCAAAGTTCCAAGCATGATCAATTTATTGATAAAGTGCAAATTTGCTAATAAACAGGATCTCAGGCCCCTCCGAAAAACTAAGACCCCAAATGAAGGGGACAGCTCTCTTTTATGGACAAAAGGAAGAGCATAAAAGACAGCATCATAGATGGGGTAAACAATATGATTGGTTACGGAGTCTGTAGCATCAGTGGTATGAGGAATAATATGATTGGCTAGAAATTAGGAATGGGGGGCTAGCAACAACTTATCTTTCCATTCTGTTGTCACAAGTGTTCATTGTTTGAGTCCACCTCTAAGGACAGTTTAGTGTAAGTCGACCAGACTACCTTGGATAACAGACCAGACTCCTTTGCATACTCCTGCATTTTTCAAGGATAGCAGATTTCCTTGAGGGAAGAATAGAACAGAACTTAACTCAGAGACAGTGAGTGATTTATAGGAAAGCTGACTTTCCAAACTTAACTCTGAGAAAAATAAAACATGACTTAGGCAGTTACAAAAATGTTGCCAGTGATACAGAATGAAATCAATAACAAAATAGAATCAATTAGATTTTCCTAATTTTCAGGAGCTAAAGACTCTTGTTGAAGATGCATATAAAAATGGGTAATATCATACAAAAAATTGGCATAGTAAAGGCTTTTTATAATGAACAATTTGATGTCAAACCAGTTACATTTTTAACCAATGTAAACAGTAATTATCAGGAGAAAATGTGTTCATTTGAGGTTTACTTTTTTTTCAGAGGAATATGTATTCAGGTTCTGATTGTTAGTAATTCCATTTAGAACATTTTAAATTTGTCTCCCATCATAGAAGAATTAGAATTTTGTTTTCAGAAAAGACCTAACAAAATAATTTTGCATATATTCATACGTGTATTAAAATTTCATCTCTGTATCTAAAAACATAGTACAAGTTGATGAAATAAGACATGTATTTACAGTGACACTAATTTTCAAATGTTTTTATGCCACAGTCTCATGAAGGGGAATGTTTACTCTCCATGGTCCATGTTGTAATGTTTTCCATGGCCTGAGGTTAGGGAAGTCATTTGAAGGAACAGTCTTTTTAAAGTTCACACCTGTCGTCTTGTGATTCTCCAGATACTTATTTTGATATTGTTAGGAATCTGGGATCTATGTAGTATAGTCTCTTCCTCTGCTATTGCAGATTGCAACTCAAATTAGAAGTTCTCATCTGATGTGTTTCTTTTTTTTTGTTTTTTGTTTTTTTTTGTTTTAGGCAACTGGGGTTAAGTGACTTGCCCAGGGTCACACAGCTATTAAGTGTCAAGTGTTTGGTCTGAGGCCGGATTTGAACTCAGGTCCTCCTGACTTCAGGGCCGGTGCTCTATCCACTGCGCCACCTAACTGCCCCCTTCTGATGTGTTTCTTATCCATGTCCTTTTATAAATCCTCTAGAGAGTATGTATACACTATACTGAAGGGTTTACTCTAAGTGTATGTATATGTAAGAAATCAGCTATTACTGCTTTCTCTCATCATATGTCCTTTACTTCTTCTTGATTGCCACTCACTTTGATGATTGTATAACACTTCCTGTATTCAGTTAATCCTCAGAGATTTTCTTCAACTTAAATAATTGTACCATGTGTATTTTCATTGCTGTTTGGATAATTTGCAATTTTAATTCCTCTAATATCCTGGAGTTTCATAATTTATAACCATATTACATTATTGGGAGAATATTAATGATAAAATATGAGTTTGGGGGTCTATAACTTTTCAAATGTGACTTACATTACTCAATTCTTCCTGTTAAATTCTTAGTGCAAGACAGTGTCCATCTGCAGAGCCTGTTGAAGATGAGTGTACTAAATCAGTTGCCCTTTTAACTGCATATTATAATCTGCACAATATGCATTTTTCAACTGCTTGTCTTTTTCTGTGTGGATTGCTAGGCTGATCTCCTTTGAGTATCTGTTCATCTGATATAGAAAAATGAGATACAGTTTTCCAGTGGTCAGTCAGTACAGTTAACACAGCATCCTCTGTAAACAACAGTGTGTGTCACCATCTTTAAGCCAGCTTTCTGTTGGACATTGCATAGGATATCATCCATAACAGTGTTGAACACCTTTAGGAAATACATATTTCTTTGTTTTATGGCTTGTTAATTAGAGAATTATTCAACAAAATTTTCTCCCTATCTTAGCATATCAGTATATACATTCAAGACTCCTTGTTAGAGGAGAATGAGTTAGGCTTTGTTTTGTTTTACTTAGTCAAGTAAAATTTAATTCAACACATTTATTAATCACCTATTATGTACAAAACATTATGTTGTGGAAGAAAGAAAAGAAAGGAAGAGGATAGAAGAATTCCAAGCAGTTTCTGTTCAAGATAATAGCCGGACAACAGCTAAATTCGGCTACTGTTTATGTTAAGCTTTTTGTAGAAATCTGCTAATTGAAGGCCAAATCCACTTGAAAAAGTAATTCTAAATAACTAGAGAAGAAGAAAGGAAGCACACTGTGTAAAAGAGATTTGCTTAGAAGTCCCCTGTGACAGAGTCCCTGATATAATGAAAGGGCTTAACAAATTGCTGACTATGTTAAGTTATCCATGAGAGTTATCAGTAAGACGTACAGAATTGACAGTCATTTCAGCCAAGAGGTCAAGATGAATAATCCATTGTCTTGCAGGATTTTGGCTCTTTTTATGTTTTTGTAAGAAACAGCTACTACATCCACAAAATGTATATTGGTCTCCATATTGTGAGATGATATTTGTAAAGTATATTGCAAACCTGAAAGTGCTATGTGGATGCAATATGTTATAACTGTTGATAGTATTATACTAAATGAGATGGTGGAAAAGCTGGGGGAACATCTTTATCCTGTAGATTAGCAAGAGTGGAATGTTCTTGAAGTAATGGAAGAAATACTTAGAAAATGAAGGAAAAAGAACCCAGAAAGGTATAAGGGACTTAAAATTTGTGTTGTCATATTGGATTGTAGGAATTTGAACCTGTGAAGATGCCTCATTTTTCCAGGGCTAACTGATACAAAAGGAACAGGCAAGAAAACGATATAGGGGATCAGGGTAGGTATTAACAATCAGTAAACATTTATTTATACCTAGTATGTGCCAGACTCTGTTCTAGGCACTAGGAATTAAAATAGAAAAAAACAAAATAATGATTATTCAAAAGAAGTTTACATTGAGTTTGGTTGTTAAATTGGGTATGATATTTACTCCATCAGTGCATTATAGATTGAATGTTGAATTACTCTGTATCAGATGATTGTGTAATAGAGTGCAGGTTCTCTGTATCTAGAGTTACTACTAGGGGGATGAAGGGAAAAAGGGCAGGTGGGGGAAGATGGGATGACAAGAGCTAGTAGTAGAAATTTGTACATCTGTATGTGTGTGTATATGTACATACATACACACAATTTTGTATTTATGCTTTAAACATAAAAATGTGGTAGGACTGGAATTTTCTCACAGGACATTTTTTATAATGTTTATTTCATATGGAACACTGTTCCAGGCCATGGCTAGGATCTGAAATAGCTTTATTTGCAAAAACATTGATTCTTAGTCTTCCATCTCCTGCATATCTTAAAAATGCGTCTTATATTTCTTGATTTTCCAAAATTTTTCCATAACTTACCTGAATATTGAATTCACTGCTGTAGAAATATTACTCTATAAGAAAAATACCATATAAACCTTAAAGCACAATATAAATGAGTTATGAAAAGATGAATATTATACCTTAAGGAACTTTCTACATTCGTCATAGGTTATTGCTTGCAATTTCATTTATAATAAAAACACCTTAAGATTTACCTTTGGATGGGAAGGGAGATCTTAAAAAGAATGCTTAAAATGAATGGCAGCTACATCATCTCTGGGGAAGGGGAGGAAGTATAAAAATGGAATGTTTGCTCTCTTGAAGTTGTTTTTAAAGTTATATACCCATTTATACTGCAGTTTGTTTTGTTCAATAAAGATTGTCCTAACAACTAGTCACTGTTTCATCTTTTTAGTAATACTGAATAATACTAGATGGCTCTATTATTGTATCTGAAATATATTTTAAAGGATTATTTGGATTCAAAACTCAGTCATCATCTGTCTTCAAAAAGTAAAATAATCTTGCTGCCTGCAAGACTAGTTGAGATGTTTGAATAAAATAAATGAGTTCAAACTGGCAAAGTAAATGGGATTATTTTGGGTCAATTTCAGTTTCAGTTTTAATATCCACTACTTTTTATGGACATAAAATCACATGATTGGAAGAAGAGACCTTTGAAAATAAAGGCCTTAATGTTTTTCAGATGACTTTATGCTAACCTTTTGCACAAAAACAGTGGGAATCTACATTAGCAGTTAACGTTGGAAAATCACAACTTCTAACAATACAGTACATGACCTCCTTAGGTTAATAACAGTCATTGAATAATATCCTCTCTGCTTTTGCTTTTTAAAATTTCATCCATGCCTCTGAGAAGGGCTGAGTAGACAAGATGAAATTGACTTTGGACGTCAGAATATAATTGTCTTAACCCTCAATGGAGATAAGAAAAATAGATAAATTGAGCAAGGCATTTTCAGTTGCACATATAGTGAAGAGAAGCCAGATGATTATTTTAAATAATTGCCTTGTATAAAATAAGTAATAGACATGCAGGAATTACTGGTTTGAGTAATTCTACACATGCATTTCTAGCCAAAACACATCTTTCTATCATTATAGATTTTTTTAAAGAACTGTTTTAGTTGAAGATAAAAAAATTGTTTACCTTGCTACTAGTTTTCTAAAACCAAAAACTTTTTTCAGAAATATCTCATGCTCATTCTCAGTTCAAAAGATACTCTCTCGGTTAATAGACAGTTGTTATACATTTGCTCAAAAATTCTTTTTATATAAAAAACCCTCAGACAATTTCCTTAATATTAAGTAATAATCACATGACCACATTTTAAAGCATTTGCCTTTTTTTTTTGTTTGTTTGTTTAGGCCTACTAAAATATTCTTTGTATGTACCAGGCATATGAAAAAGAGGTAACTCAACTTTGTGCATATCTCTCAATTTGAACAATTATTGCTTTCCATTTATATTAATTATTTTTGTTTCTAGTATATTCTGGTATCATCTTGATATTTTAAACAGTAAAACTAAACAGTTAATTTGTAGTCTTTTATGACCTTTTACATTTTTTGTGATATGTATATAATAATTTTCTATATTGTTTTAAAAAAAACTGCCATATAATTTTCCTAATTAAATCTCTTTCCCTTTGTTTCTCACTTCATGGTATTATTATAGAGTAAAAGCGAAGGAAATATTAAATGAAAAGAAGAAAGAAGATGAAATATAGAAAGTCTTTGCTCTTTTTAAAACAATATTTTCATATTTAAAATGAAAATCTTATAGAAGAGTACATTATCAAAGTGTTTTCTAAATCAAAAGTTCTATTTAATTTTTAACAGTCTTTTTTAGTTATTCATATTCTTTTCCCTTAAGTCTCAACATCTGCTGCTTTTAATTTAAACCTTTTGTTTTTCACTATGATGTGTAGGAATTTAAAAAAAATGAATTTCCATTTTGTCTACATGTTGTAGTATGCTTAACCAAACATAGTCAAATTAGTTACTATGATTAATAATAATAATATATATTATTGAAACAAGCACGGACAATTTTAAACCTGCAATAAGTTGTATTTGTTTGCCTTTTCTAGGAAAGCAGATTGGATGAGTACCATCATATTGCAGTTGCTCTTAAGAAACCAGATGGATTAAGACTACACAATCCTCAAGTAAGACATTAAATCCTTTTTATACAACTTTAAACATCATCAGTTAGTATTGATTTCTGTTCTGTTCTGATGGCAACAAATATGTATATGGCAAACAAATATTCATAAATAAATGGTTTATGTCAGGTTGGGTGTAACTGTTTTACAATTATAAAATTATTTTTTTTTCATTGTTTCATTCTTAATGCTTCTGACCAACTTTAATCAAGGATTTTAAATAGAATATTTACCATGTAATTCATGTTTGAATACATATAGTTTATTGCTTTAAAAAATTGCTAATTAACCTATTAGAACATCATATCCTGTGACTACCATTTCAGTACCTATAGCAGTGAATTCTTATCGGTGAACTAGCTGTTTTGATTATAAGTAGTCATTTCAGTGAAATTGAGTGGATAGTAGGCAATCTAATATTGAGTAGAAATAATAAAATATTCATTTGGAGGATAGGAAGGTAAGTCTTAAAATTATTACAAATACTACTATGTTAAATGCAATGGAGACTTAGTTCCTTAATTGTGTTGTATGGCTAGTCATGAGTTCCCAAGCTACTCTGTTCCCTTCCCTTAGTTTTTTTTAGTACTCTTCAGTCTAATTTAGTTAAATAAACATTTAGTTAAACAAAATTTAGTTAAACAATTTAGTTAGTACTTTTGGCATTCATGTGCTATACATACAATGATGAAAAATGATGCAATTGGTACCTTCAAGCAGCTTATAATCTTATTAACAAGGGGGTGGGGGGGCAGGGAGCAGGATAAGGTAGACAAAGTCCAGTAACAAAGTAGCATCATCATCATATGTAAAGGTTATCACATGAAAAATGTTCTACAAGAGATGCCCTAATCTGAGCATCCTGTTTCTCCCAGTTTTTAAACTTTGACTTTGTATTCACTGTACAATAAAGTAAGGCTATCTGGAGTCCCATTTGTTAGGTCTATGTCTCAGAAATTTCTCAGATATGTGTTCTGATTTCAGGAAATTATATAAATAATTTTCTAAAGAAGCACTTCCTCTATGTAATTAAATGAATTTTGTTTCCTTATCGTCATGTTTTATATTTATTATTCTTGATATGAAATAACTCATGAAGTTCTACTATATTCTCAATAGATGAAGTTGAATTTAGTATTCCCCAGCCTCTGATTTTGTCTTATTCCTTCTAAATTATAAAATAGATCTTAAAATAGCATGGATTTAAATAGTGTCACATAAAGATCTTCATATTTTTAGGTTCTTTCTCAAGACCATCCTGAGCCAACTATGTCACAGTTCACTTTTTTGACATTTGAAGATTTGGTAGCATCTGCTGTTCCTTTGACCCCGGAAGATCCTTCTTACTGGGACAACTTTTGCTCCAGACAAGAGGAGCCACTTCGAAATAGTACAAGTTTGTGATAATGCTCAAGAAAAAAAAGTGAAAAATGAAGATTTTAAATAATCCCAGGGTTACCAGAAAATAGGTAATTAAAGGACTCAAATGGTATTTCAACAAAGTTGGACCAAATTCTGGGAGGTAAAAAGGAGCCATGAATGTAACATGTGACCCAGAAACAGACTTCTGGTATTACTAATACCAAGATGGGACAGTAGTATAAGTTCATCGTTTGTATTGCTGCAACTAAATAACTTTGTGTAAATTGTTTAAAATAAGGTACTTTGGTCAATAAGCAAGCAAGTATTCATTAAACACCTATTATGTGCCAGACAAATAGAGTGCTCTCTGCTAAGGATGCAAAGAAGAAAATGCACCAGTTCTGTTTTATACTGGAACAAATAAAAAATTTTAGTATTTTTGTAATGTCATTATTTGTTATTAAGCATCCTCTTACGAGTTACCATGCAAAGCCTATAGAATAGTAAAAATAATTTTCATAGTAAAACAAATGTTGACAGTCTTTACATATATTCCAACCAGAGACATTAAAAATCAGACTATCTTGGCACATCTGCTCCTTTGGTCATGTTATTTTCCTATCTATAGTACCTACCTTACAAGATTGTTATGAAGTTTAAATGAAATAATGTATGTAATATGTTTTGAAAACGTCAAAGTATTATTTTCATGCCAGCTATTATTAATTTATGTTAGTCACCTGTACTTTTTTCAGGTTTTATTACTTTAATTTGTATTTTTCTGATTCTTAGTGATTTTGAAATTTTTTTCAGATGACCATTGATAGTTTGCATTTTTTGTTTTGTAAACTGTTCATATCCTTTACTTATGTAATAGGGTGTCACAGTTGAAATTTAATAAAAAGTTAAACTGAGGTAGTCTCTGAGCAAGATAACATTTATTAGTAGAGACATGCTACCTGTCAATAAATGGGTCTGTGGCTTGCCTCCATTTATGCCAAAGATGCCGAGGAAAAGAACAGTTCCCCTTTAATAGGGTTTTGGGGAGTACAGAACAAAGAACAGAACACGGTAGATGACATCATGGGATTAAGGGGTACATGATTGGTTATGGAGCTGAGGTGCAGGGAACATCATGATTGGTTGGAAGTTTGGCAATGGGGGCTAGCAATGATTCCACTTCTTGTGAAACTTAGAAGTGCTCATTGCTTGAGTCCAGGTACAAGATAGCAGCCCAGACTTTTGGACAGCAAACCAGACATCCTTGAAAGATAACTTGGTGAAGTAAAGATATCAGGCCTGACTCCCTTTCTTTCACACACATTCCCCAAGGTTAGCAAAATTCCTGGAGGCAAGAAGAGCTGGATTTTTAAAACTTAACCCATTCCAGGCCAGCTGAATTCTGCACTAAGTTCAGAGACAAAGAGCCATGACTTAAACAGTTACAGGACAAAATCAACTACCTGTAAATATGATTAATAAGAAAATTATACTGGATCAATATTAATCTTCTCAAGAGAATGACTCTTAATTTTAAAAATTGCTTTTTGTTCTTTGATTTCACACTTTTTGTCAGAGGTCTTTAATGCAAACTTTTTTTTTCTCCCAAACTTTTTTTTTTAATGCCTGCATAAATTCTGTAAAAAGTTTCCACATTCTGTATGATATAGTATGTTTGTGTAATTGTCATCACTCATCTGTGTGAATTCCTTTTCATGATTGTGAGAGATAACTTATTCTGTAGCTTTTTATGGTGTGATTTTTATGATTTTATGGTATTATTTTTATATTAATATCTTTTATTGATTTGGAATTGTATTATGATATTATTGTATTATGCTGGTTCAAAACTTGCCAACTTTCCTAACAGTTTTTGTTGAATAGGACTTCTTTATTCTTAGGGTGTGAGGAGAGATGGGCAGCTTATTAAGTGTGAGACTACTACATGCATATTCTTCTAGATTTGCTTGTACTGTGTAATAAGTTCTGCTAATCCACTTTTTAGTTTTCAATCTAGTACCAGATGGTTTTGATCATTTGAGTGGGTTGTTCAGGACCTGTAATTTCACATAATGACCAAAACTTGACCCAAAGAAGAGAAATGAGAAGGTATCCACCCTCATTTTTTTTGTAGAGGTAGGGGACTGTGGGTATGGAACACTGCATGTAATGTCAGATTTTTTTTTTTAAATGTATCATTTACTTTTTTCTGGACTGTGTTTTTTCCTCTTCTGTTGTAAGTCATGGCTTTGTTATAAGGGATGGCTCTCTGGGATCAGGGAAGGAGAGAGATGTATTGGGAAATGTAGGTGAAGCAAAAGCAAAAGATAACTGTAAAAATTTACCTAAAAAGTAAATGTGAAGATGGCATTGATTGAGTCAGTCAATCATATCATCACACCAATACTTACAGTAATTGATGAGACATTTGTCAGGTGAAAGTTTGTATCAGTTGAATCAGTCTCATTGGTGTGAGCTAGATGGGAACAGTATTTGGACATCTCTGTTCAATTAAGGCATTTCACTTAGGTCTGACAAGAAGTCTGTTCAAATTGGTTTAAAGACTTGGTAATGCCCATTGATGCTTGTACAAAGCAAGAAGGTAGTTGAGATTCATGGATTCAAGTGTCTGAATGCTTAGTGGAAGACATGTCTAGTATAGCCCCAGAGAAGGAGTCCTTTTAGGAAGGAGAATAAATGCCTGGGCCTCAGCTGCATCATCTACCTCCATCTTGCCTCCTCTCCCTCCCTTCTACCTTGGAGCAGCTTATGAACTTCTCAGGACCAGAGAACTTGGACTTAGTCATTGGTTTCCATTAGTGGTTGGTACTGGAGACAGACTGGGTGTTTTGAGGAAAGATGAATTCAAGGCTCTCAAAGGAGCCCAGCAGAAATATCATACCATACCATTCCTAAGGGAATATTTTTGAGGAGTTAAAGTACTGCTTAGACTCTCTAAATTTGAGCCCACATTCTCAAGGACTTCTTATATGTTTGTAGGACAATGTGTCACAGATTGGGGTTGGGAGTGTGCATGTAGATATTTTTATTAACTGCTTTTGTCATTTTAATAAATACCCCTTTCTAAAAGCTAGTGATTTGGCTAATTGATATCAGTTGATAATCAGGGAAATAAGTACATTTTTAGGAGGTCATGAGCCATAGCATTAGAAAGGACATCCCCTCTCCCAGTCCCCATCATCTCTTCATGGTTAACCCAAGAAACCCTGAGGGGAGATACAGCATTGCCCTTGGGACTTGACCCATTAGTGCCAGTGGAGGTTGGAAGGGTAGCTCCAGAGCATGAGCTACATAAATATTGTTAGGTTTTGGTTTTATATACATGCCTTTGATCATTTAGGGGGAAGATCCTTCAGTCATTTTGCTTTTTAGTGTTTTTAACATGAGTACTTAATTTTGTTGAAAGCTTTTCTACCTCTCTTGATAAAGTAGTGTTTTTGTTTACATAATTAGTAATGTTTCTTGTTTTCCTAATGTTAAACTGTATTCTCAGTAGAAATCCAAGTTGGTATCTATCCTCTCTCTCTCTTTCTCTCTCTCTCTCGCTCTCTCTCTCTCTCTCTCTCTCATATGTCTCTCATTTCTTAGCTGACATTCTATTTATAATTTTTGCATCAGTATTCATTAGTGGTATTGATGTGTAGTTTTCCTTTGTCTGCTTTTTATTCCTTCTTGGTTTCGATATCAGGAGCATATTTGTTTCAGGAGTTAGGTAGAGTGCCATCTTGTTTGGTTTTTGAGAGCAATTTATTTATCAAAGAATCATTTGTTCTTTGAATGTTTACTAGAATTCACTTGAAATTTTTCTGGACCAGAAAAGTGTTTTCTCCCCTCCTTTAGAAGTTCATTTATGGCTTGTTCAATTTATGTTTCTGAAATTGGGTTTTCAAGATTGTGTATTTTCTGCTTTGTTAATTTTTGTAATATATTTTATAGAAATTAGCAAAAAATATTGAAATAGAATGTTAAATAGAATTAGCAAAGAAATATACATATGCGTGTGTGTGTGTGTGTGTGTAGTCTAAGATTTCATCAGTAGAAAGTTGATTGGCAGGTTTTTGTAACACATTCCTTTTTTTAAATAAAATTTTTTTCAATGATAAAAACCCATTTTCTCCCCCCCATTGAAAAATTAAAGAAAAACAAAAACTGGTTATAAATATAAACAGTCAAGGAAAACTAACACAGTGGCCATGTTCAAAAATTTTTTTGTTTTCAGTTTGCACCCTGATTCCTTCATTTGTCTGATAGGAGGTAAGTAACATGTTTCATCATGGATCCTCTGGAATCATTGTTGATCTTTGCCTTGATCACTTTCAGAGAAAGTTTTTTTTTTCCTTACATTGTTGTTGTTATTCAGTTCATACAAGTTTTCCTATGTTTTTCCTGAAAACATCTCCTTTATCATTTCTTATAGCATAATAGTATTTTATCACATTCATATTTGATAATTTCTTCATCCATTCCTAGCTGATAGGGATCACTTTAGCTTCCAATCCTTTGTCATCACCACAAAAAAAAAAGCAGCCATAAATATTTTTTGCACATAGTAGTCCTTTTTCCTTTTTTTGGGGGGGGTGGTGGTGCAGTTTTTTGGGAATATAGACCTAGTAATATTATCAGTGTCGATGGGCATGCACAGTTAAATGATTTTTGAGACATAGTTGCAACACATTTCTAAGATAGTCTCACTGGTCACTGTGGTCAGTGTGCCAGAGGCAAGACTTGAATACAGGTTATAATGTTTTCAAGGACTGCCACAAGCCACTGTATCACATTGCCTCCCTTTTTGTAGATGATTATCTATTCATTTACATTTTCATTTTTATGTGACATAGGGTTAGGCATAGTAGCTTCAGACAATTTTCATTATGTTCCATTTTGATCCTTTGAATTTTTACATTTCATTTTGTTTTTAATTTCCTTAATTTGTTACATTTCTAGCTGTTTAAATTGTATTCTCAATCTATTATTTTCCTTTTTATTAATATAATTGTTCAGATAAAAATTTTCCTCTAAAGACTTTTTACTGCCTAACATAAATTTTAAAGATGTCTCATTGTTTTTCTTTTTAATATAATTTTTCTGTGATATTAATTATTTAGGATGTTGCTATTCTCCTTTTAGGTCTGTATCTTTCATTTCCTTATTTTTTTTATCCCCAGTGTTTAGTATATAGTGCCTAGAATATAGTGCCAAGCATATAGTAAGCACTTAATAAATTTGTTGATTGTTCCTTTAAAAATTTAGTTAATATCGATGCCTTTCTGTGTTTATGAATTGTTTATACCACATGTCCTGAGCACAGTACTTATAGCATTAAATATGGCTATTCATTTTGGGAGAAATAGGTCTGTGCTTTGGTTTCAGAGACAAATCACATTGCATTTTCACTGGCTTTTCCACATTCCTGGAATG